ATACTTAACTTTATCTTTCTTAATTTTCTCTCGATACTTTTTCATTTTCTCGGCAGCACTCTTAGCCATTACAAAAAAGTGAACAAATCCTAAGTTACTTATCTGGAATATAGACAATACGTAAAGTAATAATACAAAATAAAGTGGAAAAAAATTCCCGTAGCTTTTTTGTTTAAGTGAAATTTTTAGATGGAAACAAAAATCACTGTGAGAACAGTCGGGTATATATAGTGTGTGAACTGACAAAACAAAGAGGTGAAAGGAAAGAGACCGATAAGGCGGGGGTTATGGTGTTCTACATCGTTGGTTCCCTTTCGGACCTCATATCTGTCAGAAAATCGATCAACTTTGAACAATAGCTCCGCGAGCCCATTCCGAGGTGTTTTTCGTAATTTTCTCAGAACACAACAAGTTTGAAGAAAAGTCTTATATACCATTCGATGTAGCTCTAAACGGCGAATAAAACTGTCTGTTGCTCAATTGTTATGTACACTGCGAACACTCACGTTTTCCCCATATTACTGTTAAAAATGACCTTTTCAGCATAGCCAACGATAGTATTTCAGCTTTTTCATCGGGAAAGAACCCAGGTTGCGGTCTACATTATATATCGAAAGAAAGCTCTTTCAAAGCTCTACAAAACGGTGGGTAACTCATTTCTAGTTGGAAGTGCAAACACTCACTTTTTTGGATATTACTACTGAAGAGTGATGTTTTCAAGCATAGAGACGGATAATGTTTCTGTGTTTTTACCATGAAAGAGTTTAGGTTGCGGTCTACATTATATATCAAAAGAAAGCTCTTTCAAAACTCTAAAAAATGCTATGTAATTCCTTTCTAATCAATACTGCGAACGCCGACGTTTTGGGATATTACTGTTAAAAGGCGGTCTTTTCAGCATACCCAACGATAGTATTTCTATTGTTTTCACCAAGAGAGAACCTAGGTTGCGGTCTATATTTTATATCAAAAGAAAGCTTTTTTAAAACTCTACAAAATGGCTGGCAATTCATTTCTAGTTACAAGTGCGAACGCTCAGGTTTTCGGATATTACTACCGCAGAGTGATGTTTTCGGCATCGGCGGATAGCGTCGATTCATATAAAAGCTACCACCATTTACATCGACCTTTGACGTCAGTGGCGAGGCCTGTTTCATATTATAGAGCTCATCAAGCAGAACCGAATGGTGAAAACCGCAAGTCTCTAGCCTTGCTAGAAAAAACGTTATAGCCGTTCCACCCTCGCAGCGGAAAAATGCATTTTCTGGAGGATTTGGCCTGACTTGTAGAACGTCTGCTGACCACATTTCCTAACGCGAATCCTTAAAGTTGGTATCCAATGAAAGAGCGCGTCGAGTTCTATACATTTCGACGAAGAAACATTATGCTAAGCCTCGGGGTCTTAAGACAGAGATTTCTGAAAACTCGGTTTTCTAGAAAACCTAGTGACCTTCAAATTTCTTTCAGAAGTTTTTCAACCATATCGTTAGATAGCCCTTTCAAATCTCCACAAAATGAGATGTTGACCACGTTTCTACGATCTAGAACGACAGAGTTACAGGCTGTTTAACATTACGCATACAACCTGATTTGCTTTAATGTCGAAGTTTCAACCTGCACCGCATTTTTTCTGGCATTGTGGCACATCATCGTAGAAACGTTCTAGATCGTAGAAACGTGGTCAACATGTAGACCGCAACCTGGGTTCTTTCCTGATGAAAAAGCTGAAATACTATCGTTGGCTATGCTGAAAATCGCTGAGGCCTGGCATTGAATTTCCCGGGAGTCTCAAAACTGGTCTTTTCTCACACGTGAGAGCCTCACAAATGACTCTAGACAGGGGTTATCGACCACGCTGAGTCTCGTGGTAGTCTCTGTTTAATGATTTAAAAACATTTTTGCATATGAATTATCGGAATCTGTACTCAACCTAAGCTGTTCTAACTACTGTACTACTGTATAACGACTTCACTTTATTTCAGATCAGTATAATGTTACATAAAGATACATGAAACGAAACTGTTATCTATCTGTGTCATATTTTATCATGGAATAAACACTAGGACGCTGAGTGCAGGAACATCGGGAACGCAAAAACATTTTCACTTTCTTGAGCAAATATACATGGAATCAGTGTTCTTCATTATTTGTTCTTATCATTATATAGACATTTGTTCTAAAAAGTGATACAAACTGTAAAAAAGGACGAGAATCACGTCAGAAAGAAAAAGAAGAAATGCAGTATGAATGAAATTCAAAGAAAATCCGACTAAATAAAGAAGAGACGGGAGACGTACACTTATGTTGAAATCATCAACAAGAAAAACGCGTTAAAGTTATCAAAACTTATGTGAAATAAAGTGAAGTAGTTATACGGTAGTACAGTACTCAGAACAGCTTAGGTTCAGTACAAATTCCGATAGTTCATATGTAAAAACGTTTTTAAATTATTAAGCAGAGACTGCCACGAGACTCAGCGTGGTCGATAACCCCTGTCTAGAGTCATTTGTGAGGCTCTCACGTGTGAGAAAAGACTAGTTTTGAGACTCCCAGGAAATTCAATGCCAGGCCTCAGCGATCGAAGGTAAGAGTCTCGCTTGACTCTCATTTTGAAGAGGGCACTTTGGCCTATCTATCCATGAAAAAAAATCAAACCATTTGTATTTCAAGTTTTTGAGCAATGACCTGGTTTTCCAAAGATCCTGTGAAAAACCTGCTTCACCGAAAGATCTTGAAAATGACTTTCATTGTGAAAAGCTGCATTTAGATCCTAGCTTTCGATTAGTGAAGACCGCAAGCATCTACCACTTTTCTGTCAAACGTTATTCAAAAAACATCCGAGTCCATTCCTTCTTTTTACCGACAATAGAACAATTCCTAACCTTTAAAAAGAGTGATTTTTTAGATGTTGGGGGCATTTCGTAGTTCTGAAACCAAATTTTTCCTATTCAGTATGTAAAACCTTTTAGCCTTTATTTTTGTGTTTTCAAAATCACCGCATAATCATTAGTCCAAAGTACATACTCTCTGTTATTTTATTTTTTCTTCTAGAAAGTTATGCGAAGATGGACCTTGGAATAGATTAATAAGCAAAAAAAAAACCAGAGAGAAAGTACAGCTCAATACTTTGTAAAAGCTGCTAATTTTCTCATCAATAGCGTATATAATAACAAAGAATACAAGCGATGAATACCGCACTTCATCAACTGACTAACAGCAATAAATAAAATCAAACATGCAATCTTTGCTGATCTTCATCACTCTGTTTCTAATTGGTAGCGTTGTCAGTAATCCAGTTGGTGAAAGCGTGGACAATACTCACTTATTGAAACCAGCCATTTGGGATGAAGAAGATAACAGTCACTTATTGAAACCAGCCATTTGGGATGAAGAAGATAACAGTCACTTATTGAAACCAGCCATTTGGGATGAAGAAGATAACAGTCACTTATTAAAACCAGCCATTTGGGATGAAGAAGATAACAGTCACTTATTGA